AAAAGAAAGAGAATAGAGGTGTCATTCTTCTGACTTCAAGTTTTACTATAGGGCCATAATTAAAACCACCTAGTACTAGAACAAAAATGGACCCACATGTCAGTAGAATAGAATTGAGAGCCCAGAAATAAACCCATACCTGTAAGGACAGTTAATCTATGACAAAGGAGCCAAGAACATACACTGGAACAATAATATTGTTGGGGAAACTAGATAGCTGTAAGCAAAAGAATGAAACTTGACCACTATATCACAGAATACAGAAGAAGCAATTTGAATTGTGTAAATGACTTGAATGTAAGACCTGAAATCATGAAATATGTGGGAGAAAACATAAGCAAAACGTTTCACAGTGTAAGTTTCAATATCTTTAGGGAATTGTCCCCAACAGCAAGGACAATAAAAGAGGATGTAAGTGACTACATCAAACTAAAAATCTGCCAAATAAAAGATATCATAACTAAAAGACACCCTACTGAATGGGAGAAAATATTTGCATATCATACGTCTGACAAGGGATTGATGCCAAAGCTATACAGTGAATTCATACAACACTACAAACCCAAAAAGAAACAATCCAATCAAAAAAAGGAAGAAGAACTGAACAGAGCCTATTCATACATCATATATCTGAGAAAGGGCTGCTATCCAAAATACATAAAGAAATCATGCAACTCAACAAACAGAAAACAATAACTCAATCAAAAAATGGACAGAAGAACTAAGTAGACATTTCTCCAAAGAAGACATATAGACTGCAAACAGCCTAGTCCATAAAAATGTTCATCATCACTTATCATTAGGGAACTACAAATCAAGATCACAGTGAGATAGAATCTCACATCTGTGAGAATGCCACACTAAGAAAAGACCAGAAATAAGTGCTGGTGGGGATGTGTAGAAAAGACAGCCCAGCCCTCCCAGGTGTCGCACTGGGTTAGCATGCAGGACTGCAAGCCAGCCACAGCAGCTTCAGTGCCAGCTGGATCCCGGCCCTGGAGGTGATCTGTATGGCGCAGCAGACCCCTCCTGAACTGCCGGGCTGCTCCCCTCAGCAGTATACGTCATCAGTCGGCCTGTTCTGCTCCCCACTCTGTCTCTGGTGAAGCCTCTCACTGCCCCTGCACCTCTGGCCTGTACCCCAGTTCTGTATGCATAAATAAAATAAATCTTTAAAAAAAAAAAAAAGAAAAAGAAGAGAAAAGAGAATCTTCCTAATTGCTAGTGGGCATGCAGACTGGCCCAACCTTATGAAAAGCAGTACATAGGTGTCTTACAACATTAAAGATTGATTTGCCATGTAACCCAGTAATTCCACTCTGAGCATCTACCTAAAAAATACAAAAACTAAATTATAAATTAATTATAAAGGAAACTTACATTTCTTTGTTGATTTCAGTACTATGTACTATAGTTAGATTATAACAATTAGCTAAGTGCCCCAAAACAGTGAGTGAATCAAGAAGATGTGGTGTATATACACAATGGAATATTACTGAGCAAGCAAGAAAGATAGTCTTCCTATTAGTGGCAATATGGGTGGAGCTAGAAGGAAAATAAGGAGCTAATACTAAGGAAAATAAGTAAGAAGTTGCAAGGTAAATACTACATGGTGTCACTAAAACATGGAACACAGAGTAACTAAACTAAAAGCCAGATTAAGACAAGTTTAAAAATTAAACCTCAAAAGTTTAATTATAGAACAGAAGCATACAGAGGCGGGAGTGGTAAGAACAAAGAGGGAAGGAAGCACCATGGACTGTGATGGTGGACAATGGGTGACTTGATGGTTGCACTACGGTAGCAACTGGTGGGTAATCCAAATATTACCTCAATAAACAAAGTCTGTAGAAGAAATAAGATCTATCCAATTAAAAAACAAAGTCAAAAGTCATTTGGAAGGTGTTGAAGAAGATAAATTGTGCAGGGTAATGGAGGGGTTAAACATGTTCTATTTAACGATTATAAGTGAATAAAAATGTGACTTACAGGTTAAAAATTTCTGCACTTGAAGGATCACCTTCTTGTAGTGAGAAATAAATGACCTCCTGATTTATATTTCTGTTTTGGCTATAATTTAAATATTCTCTATTTGTATCTGAAAGAACTTCATTCATTTATTATTGACAGATGTGCTAGTTTTGAGGGCTGAGGACCCATAATAAATAAAGATATTAGTGAAAAACAAATCAACTTGTTAAAGAAAGAAGTCTGTGGTACCAACTTTTCACTTCAAAGATAAAGATTGCATAAGCATTGGGGAAAAAATAATCTTACACAATTATGTGAAGATAATAAAAATTAATATTGTTTTTGCTGTGACTTAACTTTGTTGGTTTCCTATTGAAGATACTTACATTGTTTATTGTCTATTGACATTCATCATTTTATTCCCTGACAATGTTGTTAAAATATGTTTCCACTTCTGTTTTTTCCCAACTAATACATTTTATATCACTTCCAGGTGTGGACAAGGATGGGAAGGAAATAGATGCCACATCAAGTTTCACCTTTCTACCAAAGATTTCTCAGACATTCAGAATTGTAGGTGATCTTGTGACTAAACAATTCCCTTAATTTCTGAGTCTGTAATATTTTCTGCTGCATAGTTATCTTTTCACTGGTTTGGATTTTCAGATATGTGGATTCCCCTTGGAATTGGATTGGCTTTCCTGATGACTCATGTTATGGTCTCTGTCTTGTGTTTTTTTGCAAACAGAAAAGTGTCAGTAAGGTAAGTGAGGCCTTTGACACTGCATAAAATATGATGTGGTGGGCCAATTTTAGAGTAAATGAAATTTTCCTTTCACTCCAAATTACATAGAAGCAATTTTGGTATTTCTGTAATCAATGATTGATTCTCCTGGGAAGATAGCAGATGATCTTCTCTTTTGAGTAAAATGCATTACATTTACTTTTCAGATGATTTGGGGAGCATTCTGATCACACAAGCACACAACATTCTTCATGGGTTAAAAAGAGAGGAGAGAGTGTATGTCCTGCTTTCTGAAGGCAATTTCCTTGATAATTTCCCAGGGAGTCTGACAAGCACCAATGCTGAAGCGAAGACTCCCATGTCCAAAAGAGGCCAAGAGCTTTTCCACCAGGAGGAACTCTGTAGGCGGGGCTCCTTAATAACTAAGACCTCATAATCTGTAGTATATATGAGATCCTGGGAACTTCCTCACCATATTCATCTTCCCTATGACACATATAGGAACGAGGTCACCTTAATAATGAAAGTGACTGACACTTTTATAAACTGAACAAAATAAGAGCTGTGTAAAAGAATGACTTCAGTTTTAAGAAATGAAAAGAAGTGTATCCTGTCTTGCACACCTGAATCTGTGATCGGGGATTAAGATTTTCTGCAACACACATGTGTCAGAGCTCTGGGGAAATGCATTTTGCTTGGTGGCAAATGTATGTGCCTATGCTTGATGAATTCTCCTCAGCTCTCCAGGCTGCAATCATTTTAATTAGCAGACCAACCTGATATCATCAATTAAAGCAAAGTTATTATAGAAACATGGTGGTCATTAGGGAAAAAAATATGACATTTTAATCCATTACTATTAGGATCTTACTCATCTATTAATTTATTAATTATTTCTTACGTGCCTAAAATATGCCAGACAGTGTGGATACACACATGAATGAAAAGCAGTCTGAACTTAAAGGATTTTGTAAACTACTGGGAAAAAAACAGGCACAAAGCTACTAAGTGAGACACATTCAGTGCTAAAATATACATGTGCTATAGTCAGAGTGCTCCAGACCCCAGTAGACAGTAGAGGAAAGAAATATTAATATCTTTAAAAGACTTAATATATTTATGTAATATGTTAATATGTTAACATAATATATAATTCATAACAGATTGACATGACATGTTGTTATAATCATCATATTAATATATTTAGCACTATATTAAATATATATTAGTTTATGCATATTAAAATTCTGAGCTCAACATATATCCCTATATAGGAATAAAGAATAAGGTATACATATAATTTTTGAAAACTATGTTGGCATTAATAATTTATCAATATTTTAATTTTACTAATATAATGTAATAAGATAGAGATTTCTTTTAAAGGATTGTTTCATGGAACTGTGTAGGCTAGGAAGCTTAAACCTTGCCAGGCAGGATGGCAAACTGGAAATTCAAGTAAAATAGATGATGCAGGCTTGAGTCCAAAATTTGCCAGGCAAGCTACTAAGCTGGAAAGACAGGTAGGATACCTATGCTGTAGTCATAAGGGAGACTCCCTTCTTCAGGAAACCTTAGTTTTGCTTTCAAGGCCTCCACAAGACTGAAAGAGACCTACCCAAGCAGAGAATAATCCCCCTTACTTAAGTCTGTAACTGTTAATCATATCTAAACATATATTCACAGCAACTGGACTAGTGTTTGAACAAAGAGCAAGACATCATAGCCTAGCCACTTGATACAAAGGTAACCATCGTTATGTGCAAACATGTTATCATGGTTATGGAAACACTGCAAATGCACAAATATAGATGACTGAATCAAGAAGATGTGGTGTATATACGCAATGGAATGCTATTCAGCAGTCAAAGAAGGTAAACTCATGCCATTCACAGCAGCATGAATGGAGCTAGATGGGATTATGCTCAGTGAAATAAATCAGAATCACTTATAGGAGGCATACAGGGGAATGAAACAAGGGGTCAGGGGAAAAATAATGACAGTGAATAAAAAAAAAACTAACACAGCTATAAATTAGAGACATTCTGCAGGGGAGGGGGAGGGAAGAGGGATCAAAATGGGGGAAGAGCACAAGGGACTATGGTGATAGTGCCCTGGTGAATAGGTGGTGGGAATTTTAAGGGGCTACACCTGGGAGGAGAAAGCAAACACTGCAAAGATAGGCAATGATATAATATATATTTATATATGTATATAAATTATATAAAATAAAAGTAATACTCCACAAAAGAAAACCCCACATTATTATGTTAACACAATCAGCTAGAGTATATAGAAAGAAACTAAATCCTTAAGCTGTGCTTAAAAAGATTGTGGTAGACTATTCCGGGGCAGCAAAGTCAGGAGTGGCACAGACATTGCACTGAATCCCAGTTATGCAAGCCCCTCCAGGCTATAAATTTGGAAAAATGGAAGTGAAGAAATGAAGATGGAGAAAGTGGAAACTAGTGTGTGGTCAACAGTTCGGGATAAGATTAAGAATGGAGTGTGAAGGTACTAGGTGGATTATATGGTCTAGCCAGAAAGAATGATATTTGAAATAGTAATGTGGCCATGAGGTATGAGAGAGAAACTGGAATTTCCTTCTTCAGTCCATCTGAAAAAGCACGGAGAACAGAGATTAGCTGGAATTGTTTCTTTGTTCAGGCGGCTGCCAATTCACATGAGGTGATGACCACCTGGGAAAGGCATTGAGGCACAGCTGAAATGAATAGTCACAGAATTGCTTTTCTTTTACAGGGTATTTAATGCCAGAGGAACACAAGTGAGACTGATTTATAAACAGACACACACATGCAAACACACACACATGAAGTCCATACATACTATATCACCACGGAGGTCATGATAAGACAGGGCACCCAAGGAAGTCAACTCCACTAGCCCATTTTGAATTTTTTGGGGGGAAATTCAAGTCACAGTGTTCAAAGACCAGTGCACCAACATAAATTTTCCATCATCCTACCTTTCCACTCCATATACCTGAACAAAATTCTCACCATTCTCCTAAAGCACAAGTTTTTTCCCACCCTCTGCCTGCCAGAGCTATGCAAACCCACATATTTTTGATAATAGCAAAAGTTTCTCGGCATGCCTTTGGGTTAGTCACTGAGTTCTCAGAATATTGTCTTTAAGAATCCTGCTATAACACTTTTATATAGAGATATTATTTGACTGTTTGTAGATTAACTAGTCCTTTCCTTTAAGTCCCCAACATTTGTGTATATATGCACTATATATATATATATATATGCATATGCATATTTCTATATATGCACTCTGCATGACTTTTGAGGAGTAGCTATACTTTACAGAATTTTATCAATATTTCTGAACACCACCAAAAACATTGCTTTTGTCTACTGATTATATTTAAATAAAAATGTTTCTCATCATCATTTTTACAAAGGCTTTTTACCTGAAATGATTTAAATCCTAAAGCAAGTTAGAATGTTTGGCCAAAGGATGGTTAAATAAAGTATGAGTGACTCATCTTGAAAATAATTCCAAAACTTTAAAATACACAGGAATTAATGTAAGCAGGAAATTTATCACCCTCTCAATAAACCTTAACCTTAAGATTTTTCATTAGATCTTCTTTAAAAAAAAAAAAAGATTCTGTAGCTTATGAAGCTTTTCAGAGACTTGAAAGAAACTTTTTTTATTAATTTTTTAAAAACATAGGATGAAGCCCTGGAAGTTTAAACAATGCTTAGCACAGAAATGAGCCCCTTGAAGTTGTTTTTAGAAGATTACTTTCCTGGATTTCATTATACATTCTGTGACCCTTCTGTGAGCTACTTGCTACCTAATGTATTAGTGAGGACACTTTGATTGCAGGGGAAGAAAGCAACTCAAGCTGGCTTAATCAAAATAAAGAATTTAATATAAAAATGTACATGTCTCCCAGGGCTCAAGGGTAGGAATGAATGAGGTCAGATTTCAGGAAGGTTGAGACCCACCAGCGCTCCTCATCTGACTCTCAGCCTTCTTTTTCCTTCTCTGCTTGGTTATTCTTTCACTGGAGACAGATTTCCTCTACTCCTTGTATATATAACACAATTGTGTCACCTGGATGATAAATATTATTTCTTATGTCTCCAGATAGGAAGAACTTGAAACTTTGTGTTTTTGCCCCATCCTATATTCTGATGAAAGAATTTCTAGTTAGCCTACTTAGATCAAGATTCCATTTGTGGTCAGATCACCTATGGGTAATACCATGGGGAGACCACTTGCAGAGAAGGTGCAAAGTCTCCATAAAAGTCACTGCAGCGTGTACTTCATCAGTCTGCCTGTTCTGCTCCCCACTCTGTCTCTGGTGAAGCCTCTCGCCGCCCCTGAGCCTCTGGCCTGTACCCCAGTTCTGTATGAACAAATAAATAAATCTTTAAAAAAAAAAAAAAGTCACTGCAGCAATGAAGATGGGGGCATCTCAGTCTCTCAGTGTTATCTACTCTGCCTGTCCCCTGGTCAAACGCTCAGCAGATTTTTACTCATGACACTAGTGAAGAAACAACAAATATAACAACAGTCTAGAGTTGGTCAAAGCCATGAAAAGCAGGTGTAATAATCAAACCTGTACCTAGAAATCTAGGTTAAAGTACATAACTAATCAGTGGACTATTATTCCCACCTTTACTGCAGCCAGTTACATCCACTGCTTTCCAAGTATAGATTAAATTACCTACTATGTGCCTCTAATCTGTCTGAGGAGTGTCCTACCTTTATCTTTGCATTATAATTCCCTGAGTTAGTGTTTATTAAAAAAATTAAATGTTCAACTTACAGTACAATAGTATACCACACCACACACTTGGCGATTCTCGCTGTGTGGTGATGTCAATAGCACGCCTGACTGATGGTTAAAAACAATGTCTGGAACTCAGTTATAATTTGATTTGCTGATAAGTCTCTGGAAAGCAGGAACAGAATTGCTTGTTTATTCCTCACCTTGCCTAACACATGGTATGCATTTCATAAATAATACATAGGGT